GGTGGGAGTGCAGCGTCTGGAGAGACCCCTCGTGCAGCGGCTGGTGACTCCACTGCGCCTGCTGGTGGCGGCGACCCCCGAGCTCGTCAGTCGCCTCCTGTACTGCCGACCCCGCTAGGTGGAGCAGCGGCGTGGTACCAGGCTCAGCGTCAGCAGCACCTTCAGCAGCAGCAGCAGCCCCTTTCCTCCCGCCAGCCTCAGCAGCAGCAGCGTCAGCAGCTGGCTCCGGGGTCAGAGCTGCGTCAGCCCCAGCGCGGTGCTTCTTACCCTCCCTGCACCTATCAGGTTCTGACAGGTCCTCGTCGGGGCCACCCTTGTGGCCGCTTTCACCCCCCTGGTCAGTGCTTTGCTCAGCTCACTGACACGGTCCGGTTGGCCTACGGGGTTGGCGGTCCTGCTCTTGACTGGCTTCCTCTGGTTCAGCGCTACGGCTCCGCTCTGTGGGGCATGTCTGCTGAGCAGTTAGTTGATCTGATTGGTGCTCCTCATGCTATGTATGCTGTTGTTGACTCTAGTGTTTCTGACTCTGTTTACTCTGGTGTTGTTAGCTTAGGTGCTAGTCTTGCTCAGTTGCCTGTTGCTAGTGTAGGTTCTTGTGTAGACTCTAGACCAGCGACTACCTCAGAGGACGCTTCGCTGTCGTTCACGCTGGACTCTGGAGCCTCACACTGCTTCTTCCGGGACAGCACGACACTTACACCACTTCCTGCGCCTATTTCTGTGGCTTTGGCTGATCCCACAACGGGACCAGTCACTGCACGTCACACTACCACTTTACCGTGTCCTGCTGCTCCCTCCGGGTCTCTCACTGGGTTTCACGTCCCCTCGTTCTCCCGGAACTTGGTGGGCGTGCGACCCCTCGTGAGTCAGCACGTGGGTGTGTGGTTTGAGCCTTCTGGAGAGACTGCGGTGTGTGTTGACGGAGACTCTTACCAGCCTCTTGCTACCTTTACTGCTGAGCCGGGCTCAGGTCTCTACACTCTTCACACTGGCCCGCGTGCGCCGCAGCAGCAGCCGCAGCAGCAGCAGCAGCCGCAGCTGCAGCAGCAGCAGCAGCAGCAGCTGCACCAGCGGTCGCACCAGCAGCCGCCCCTACTGCCACTGCCCCCGGTTCCCCCCCCCGTTCGGGTCCCCGCGTCTCACCAGGTTGCTTCGTCCCCCCAGGTGTCTGTGTCGTGTCAGGTTCTTACGTCTGCTCCAGTCGCTGCGTCGTGCTCCTGCCGGTCGCTTGCCCACCCCACCGTTCTGTGGCACCACCGGATGGGGCACCCGTCCCTTCCTCGTCTGCGCGCTATGTCTAGTCAGCGTCTTGTCCTAGGCCTCCCACGTGTCTTGCCGTCGCTGCCGCCTTCGCTTGCGCCGCTGTGTGGTCCCTACGTCGAGGGTCGGCTGCGCGCCGCCCCTCACTCCTCCTCCCTTCGTCCGGCCACCGAGCCTTTTGAGACGCTTCACTTGGACGTCTGGGGCCCCGCCCCTCGTCTAGGCCCTGAGCGTGAGCGCTACTTTCTGGTGGTCGTTGACGACTTCTCCCGCTACACCACAGTGTTCCCTCTGGCGAAGAAGTCTGAGGTGACTTCTACGCTGATCAAGTGGTTGCTCACCACCGAGGACACTCGTAATCGTCGTGTCAGCTGCCTCCACTCCGACCGTGGGGGTGAGTTTCGCTCCGGCATTCTAGCTGGATTCTGTCGCGAGCAGGGCATTCGTCAATCCTGGACGCTTCCAGAGTCCCCACAGCAGAATTGGGTTGCTGAGCGCCGCATAGGCCTGGTCATGGAGATCGCCCGCACCTCCCTGACTCACGCCTGTGCCCCCCATTTTCTGTGGCCCTACGCGGTCAGGTACGCCGCGCACCAGCTGAACCTCTGGCCACGTGTCTCTCGACCAGAGGTTTCACCGACCAGTCTTTGGATAGGGTCCCCTGGTGTTGCGTCGCGGTTTCGTGTCTGGGGGTGCTTGGCTCTTGTCCGCGACACCTCCGCGGACAAGCTCTCGCCTCGTGCCGTCCCCTGTGTCTTCCTTGGTTTCCCTGAGGACTCCTCTGAATTCACCTTTTACCACCCTCCCTCTCACCGGTTCTTTGACTCCCGTGACGTCCGTTTCGAGGAGTCCACTCCGTACTACGTCAGGTACCCCAGTCGAGGTCTCCAGGTTCCTCCTCCCCCCCTCTTCCTGACTGCCGCTCCCCCTCCTGTTTCCCCCGGTACAGCCTCCCCCCCCTGGTCCAGCCCCGTCGGGTGTGTCCCAGGCTACCCCTCTTCCTTCGGTAGCCTCTCCGGTACAGCCTTCCTTCCCACAGTCTTCCTCGCAGCGTGCCGCAGGTGCTAGCTCTCGAGAGGTTGGTGCTGCGCCTGTTCCTGTACCGGTTTCTGGTTCTGGGGGTGGTGGAGTTGGAGCTGGAGTTGGAGCTGGAGTTGGAGCTGGAGTTGGCACTGGAGTTTCTGGTTCTGGGGGTGCTGGGGTTGGAGCTGGAGTTGGAGCTGGAGTTTCTGGTTCTGGAGTTGGAGCTGACCCGGTGGGTGCAGAGGACTCTTGTCGTCCGGGAGCTGGTGCTGGTCGCGCGGACACTGGGGGTGAGAGTGCGCCTCCTTCGGGTTCTGGTGAGCTTGGGTCTGGAGCTGGTGTTAGTGCTGCCTCTGGGGGTGGTGCGCCTGGTTCTTCGGGGGTGGACTCTGGAGCTACCGCTGCTTCGGACACTACTCTGCCCCCCCACCCCTACCCGACTAGGCACCAGGCTCGTGTTCGCCGTGCCCGTGACGAGCAGCTGGCGTTGGAGAGAGAGGAGGGAGTTACAGCGGCTGGAGGAGCAGCAGCAGCAGCTGGAGCCGCAGGAGCAGCAGCAGCAGCAGCAGCAGCTGGACCCGCAGGAGCAGCAGTCCCAGCAGCAGCCGCTTCCGCAGCAGCAGCAGTCGCAGCAGCAGCAGCAGCAGCCACTTCCTCCTCCTGTCTCGGGTCTTCGGACCCTTGGTCTCCCCTCCCCTTCTCCTCCCTCCTCCGCCTCTCCTCCTGTCTACGGTCCCACGTTTCCTCCTCCTGACTCCTCCCCCGCTGTTTTCCCCAGTTCTCCGCCTTTGTCCTCTCCTCCTCCGTCTCGTTCTTGGGCTACTCGTCGCTCCCCTCGTGCTCGTCCCTCGTCTCCTGTTCCCTTCACTGACCTTCGTACTGCCTTCCTTCTTTCTAGTCCACCTCGTCCGTCTCAGTCTGTGCTTCCGTCTCCTCCTGAGTCGGCCCTCACTGTGTCGCTCCCTACTCCTGTCACTGACTACTACCGCACGTACCGTCCTGTTCTCTCTCGTGTTCTCGCCTCTCTTGTTACTCACCCTCGTGCCTCTGTGTCCTCTGTGTCCGCTCTTACTGCCGCAGTTACTGACTTTGCCTCTACCCGCCGCCTTGACTACGCCACCACGCTTGTGGCTGCTCCTCCTACCAGTCCTCTGGCCGTCGGGGGTGTGTCTGCCCTTGGCTGTGACGCCCTAGAGGACAGGCAGTTTGAGCTAGAGTTCCTGGCGGCCGCTTCCCCTCATCTCTGTGCCATGCTCCTCGCCCCTGAGGGTGACCCCGACGCCCTTGACATTCCGACTCCTCGCACTTACGCTGAGGCAGTGTCAGGGCCTTGGGCCTCTCAGTGGAGAGCTGCCATGGACGCAGAGATGGCCTCCTACAGATCCACAGGCACCTACGTCGATGAGGTTCCCCCCCCTGGGGCGAACGTAGTCGACGGCATGTGGATCTACAGGGTGAAGCGGCCACCGGGATCTCCCCCGGTCTTCAAGGCGCGCTACGTGGCTAGAGGTTTCAGTCAGCGCGAGGGAGTTGACTTCTTTCAGACCTTCGCACCTACCCCGAAGATGACCACTCTTCGGGTGTTACTACACGTAGCAGCACAGAGAGACTACGAGTTACACTCTCTCGACTTCTCCACTGCTTTCCTTCAGGGCAGCCTACACGAGGATGTCTGGTTGCGTCGTCCCTCGGCCTTCACTGGCACCTTCCCTCCTGGGACCCAGTGGAGGCTGAGGCGACCTGTTTACGGTCTTCGCCAGGCCCCTCGTGAGTGGCACGACACTCTGCGTTCTACCCTCTCTACCCTCTCCCTAAACCCTAAACCCTGCGTAGCAACCTTATACATTCGTTTTCACTTTTCGGTTGACTGGCGTAAACAGCGACTTCCCCCCATCGATTTTGGAAGGAATCACTGTTCACGTACCGTAAGTTACCGTACAAGTAAAACCAAATGTGTCCAATCATCCATAGTCGTCGATAAGTACGGCGAATGGAATAAGTGGACGATCTCTCCTCACGAACGACGATGCCGTACGTGAATTTCACAAAAAAAAAACAAACAAACAAACAAAAAAAAACAAAAAAAAACAAGAAACAAACAAACAAAGAAAACAACATGAAGATATGAAAGTACACACGAACTTGCTAAAAAACGTTGGACAGTCAAGAAGGCTTCAAGGCTATTGCTAAATGCATCGATGATGCAACAGGGGTTGATATGGTGCGGAAAGGGCGAGCAAAGCTGCCCCACCGACAATCACAACCCGAATTGCTTACACGAGGCACTCAACACCAAACCCCGAAACAGGCACAAACGACAGCACACAAATTTGCACAAAAACGTTGGACATTTAACAGTTGTGAATGCTTCAAGGCTAATGCTAAATGCATCGATGTCGCAACAGAGGTTGATATGGTGCGGAAGGGGCGAGCATAGCTGCCCCACCGACGATCACAACCCCAGTTGCATACACGAGGCACTCAACACCAAACCCCGAAACAGACACAAACAACACCAACATGTATAGACAGACACATACAGGCTCGCTCACACACCTACACACACACGCAAACAACACAAAGGCATACTACCGTTATTGAACATGCAATGCAAGCGTAACGAATGAGTTCAGCCATGTATAATCACCGTTAACCTGTCCCACATTCCCCTCCCTGCCTCCCTTGTCTCCCATCCCCCCCCTCCCTTCCAATATCCCCTATTCCTCCCGTATCTGTTTACCCTCTCTCAACCCCTCCCCTTTCTCCACAAGAAAAACCAAATAGTGCAGCTTGAACTCCCTGCCCAAGAAAGCACAAACAGCGCATGCAACTCAAATTCCCTGGGCAAGAAAGCAAAAACAGATAATGCAGCTAACACTCCCTGCACAAACAAAAACAAAAGAGAATACAACTTGCATGAGCTGCACAGCACAGGAAACAAATCACAGGAATGTAGCCCACCCGAGCACAAGAAACGAGGTAAGAGTTATAACAATACGCTGATGAAGAATGAAGTACAAAAAATACAGATGAGGGACGAAAACAATCAAATTTGACATCTCACGAAGGTGATTCGGTATAAGATATCGTGTCGTCACACATACCATGCCAGCATGCACGTAATACCTCGCAGCCACCCTCGCAGCCACCCTCGCCTTCACCCTGACACTCATCCTCGCACCTCACTCTCGCACTCACTTTCCAACTCACTCACGCACACACTATCGCTCCCAACTTTTGCTAGACACGCTCACAGAAACACACACTCCCTGCACTCTCACACTCACTCAAAAAAGCGCGCATGCACTAGCACGCACACTCGCACTCACCCTTGCACGCACCCTCGCACTCACCCTCAAACTCATTTTCGCATTCATGCTCGCACTTACCCTCGCTCTCACCCTCGCACTTACCATTGCACTCACACGCGCACCCTCGCATTCACCCTTGCACTCACTCTTGCACACTCACTCTCACTCTAACACTTGCTCTTGCACTGACCCCTTGCACTCACCTTCGCATTCACTCTCGCACTCACGCTCGCACTTCCTCTCGCATTCACCCTCGTACACACACTCGCATGCACCCTCAAGTGCATGCATGCACTCACTCGCACTCACACCCGCGCTCATTCTCTCACACTCTCTCGAACTCACGTTCGCAACCACTCACGAACACACAAGTACTTTTAACCGTACTGAGACACACACATAACCCTCACACTCACCTTCGGACTCGCGCTCGCGCTTACCCTTGCACTCACTCGAACACGCTCACGCACACATAGCCGCACGCACACTCGAACCCAACTCGCACACACACCCACACTTGCACCTACAGCCACGCCCACACTCACGCTCGCACTCCTTCTCGCAGTCCTACTCGCCCTCTATCTCCCACTTTCTCTTGCACATACTCGTACTCACCCTCGCACTCACTCTTACACTCACACCGTGATCACCCTTGCACTCAACATTGCAGCCACCAACTCACTCACTCAGCCTCACACTCTCGCACTCACTCTTCACTCACACAAATATACTCTCAACTCTTCTCTAACACTCACAAAAACACACACACCCTTGCATATGTCCTCGCACTCACCCTCACACACACTCGAACGCACCCTCGTGTTCCTTTGCACTCAACCTCGCACACACACACACACACACACACACACTCACACGCACACTCACCCTCAAACTCGCCCTCGCACTCACTCTCAAACTTGCTTTCTCACTCACCTTCTCACTACTCTCGCACTCACTCATGCGCTTGCTCTCTAATTCAACCTCGCACTCGCCCTTGCCCACAACTGCACGCGCATCTCACTTTCGCACTCACACCCACACAAGCACCTAGATTCACACCCGCACTCACCCTCTCGCACACTCTCCACTCACTCTTGCAACCACTCACACACACTCACGCCCTAACCACAAGCGCACCAGTGCAGAGCCCTAATTGCAAGCGACATAAGCGCAAGCGGATTAGGCGCAAGCGCCCGCGGCACCCACGCCAGCGGCGCAAGCGCGCACACACTCTCTCTCCCGCCTCTCTCTTCCACACGCGCTTCGTGCTCCCTCCAGCTCTTCATTCTCTCTCAACATACGCTGTCTCACGCGCACTCCCTGCGTGCTCGCTCCTGTGCGAACGCTCTCCCTCGCGCTCCCTCTCTCCCCCTCTTCAATTGGTAGTGCAACGCAAGACGAGGCAAGTCTAAATGCAGAAACTACAAATAAGGTAGGAAACAATGGAATCTCTGAGGGGTGGGAGGAATAAACGCACCTGCTAATGACGGTGCCTCGAAGACCAACCCGCGCTAGCGCACCAGCTCTCGTTCGCGCACCATCCTTATCCATGCTCTCAAACCTCCCCACGGCGGGACGGGAGGGAGTGGCGCGGCGGGGATGAGGGCGAGGAGCGGCGGAATGGAAGGGAGAGACGGCGGCATGATGGGAGGGAGTGGCGACGGCGGGATGAGAGAGAGTGGCGAAGCAGGATGGGAGGGAGTGGCGACGGCGGGATGAGAGAGAGTGGCGAAGCAGGATGGGAGGGAGTGGCGACGGCGGGATGAGAGAGAGTGGCGAAGCAAAATGGGAGGGAGTGGCGACGGCGGGATGAGAGAGAGTGGCGAAGCAGGATGGGAGGGAGTGGCGACGGCGGGATGAGAGAGAGTGGCGAAGCAGGATGGGAGGGAGTGGCGACGGCGGGATGAGAGAGAGTGGCGAAGCAGGATGGGAGGGAGTGGCGACGGCGGGATGAGAGAGAGTGGCGAAGCAGGATGGGAGGGAGTGGCGACGGCGGGATGAGAGAGAGTGGCGAAGCAGGATGGGAGGGAGTGGCGACGGCGGGATGAGAGAGAGTGGCAAAGCAAGATGGGAGGGAGTGGCGACGGCGGGATGAGAGAGAGTGGCGAAGCAGGATGGGAGGGAGTGGCGACGGCGGGATGAGAGAGAGTGGCGAAGCAGGATGGGAGGGAGTGGCGACGACGGGATGAGAGAGAGTGGCGAAGCAGGATGGGAGGGAGTGGCGACGACGGGATGAGAGAGAGTGGCGAAGCAGGATGGGAGGGAGTGGCGACGGCGGGATGAGAGAGAGTGGCGAAGCAGGATGGGAGGGAGTGGCGACGGCGGGATGAGAGAGAGTGGCGAAGCAGGATGGGAGGGAGTGGCGACGGCAGGATGAGAGAGAGTGGCGAAGCAGGATGGGAGGGAGTGGCGACGGCGGGATGAGAGAGAGTGGCGAAGCAGGATGGGAGGGAGTGGCGACGGCGGGATGAGAGAGAGTGGCGAAGCAGGATGGGAGGGAGTGGCGACGGCGGGATGAGAGAGAGTGGCGAAGCAGGATGGGAGGGAGTGGCGACGGCGGGATGAGAGAGAGTGGCGGAGCAGGATGGGAGGGAGTGGCGACGGCGGGATGAGAGAGAGTGGCGAAGCAGGATGGGAGGGAGTGGCGACAGCGGGATGAGAGAGAGTGGCGAAGCAGGATGGGAGGGAGTGGCGACAGCGGGATGAGAGAGAGTGGCGAAGCAGGATGGGAGGGAGTGGCGACGGCGGGATGAGAGAGAGTGGCGAAGCAGGATGGGAGGGAGTGGCGACGGCGGGATGAGAGAGAGTGGCGAAGCAGGATGGGAGGGAGTGGCGACGGCGGGATGAGAGAGAGTGGCGAAGCAGGATGGGAGGGAGTGGCGACGGCGGGATGAGAGAGAGTGGCGAAGCAGGATGGGAGGGAGTGGCGACGGCGGGATGAGAGAGAGTGGCGAAGCAGGATGGGAGGGAGTGGCGACGGCGGGATGAGAGAGAGTGGCGAAGCAGGATGGGAGGGAGTGGCGACGGCGGGATGAGAGAGAGTGGCGAAGCAGGATGGGAGGGAGTGGCGACGGCGGGATGAGAGAGAGTGGCGAAGCAGGATGGGAGGGAGAGACGGCGGCGGGAGGAGAGGGAGAGGCGGTGGCGGGATGGGAGAGAGTGGCGACGGCGGGATGGGAGGGAGAGACGGCGGCGGGATGGGAGGGAGAGACGGCGGCGGGATGGGAGGGAGAGACGGCGGCGGGAGGGTAGGGAGTGGCGACGGCGGGGTAGGTGAGAGAGGCAACGGCGGGGTGGGAGGGGACGACGGCGGTATGGGAGGGAGCGGAGGCGAGGGGATGGGAGGGAGCGGAGGCGACGGGATGGGAGGGAGCGGAGGCGACGGGATGGGAGGGAGCGGAGGCGACGGGATGGGAAGGAGCGGAGGCGACGGGATGGGGAGGGAGGAGACGATGGGGAGGGAGAGGCGACGGCGGAGGGAGAAGCGACGGCGGAGGGAGAGGCGACGGCGGAGGGAGAGGCGACGGCGGAGGGAGAGGTGACGGCGGAGGGAGAGGCGACGGCGGAGGGAGATGCGACGGCGGAGGGAGAGGCGACGGCGGAGGGAGAGGCGACGGCGGGGTGGGAGGGAGCGGCGACGGCGGGAGGAGGGAGCGGCGACGGCGGGTAGGAAGGAGAGGCGAGGGCGGGTGGGAGGCGAGGGCGGGTGGGAGGGAGAGAGGACGGCGCGGTGGGAAAGAAAGGATGGTGGGGAGGAGGTGGTGGATGCTATGACGAGGTGGGTGGGTGGGAGGGAGAGGCAATAGGTGGGTGGGATTGTCACGTGAAAACACACGCACATTCACGTGACACTGACTGGGCTGAAAACAACTCATTAAAAATAGTGCAATGGTACAATAGTAAGTATCATCTTTGTTCACTACATAGAAAAAACGATGAATGTGTCTCAATGTTTAAAAATCATAAACACCCAGATTGAAACTAATACATTTCACCATCAAGAAGCAATTGCATCTGGGTGTGTACCAGAAGAAAGCAGAAAAAAGTACGGCTGGTATCAGCAAAAAAAAAAAAAAAAAAAAAAAAAAAAAAAAAAAAAAACACTTGCCGTAATCTTTAATACGGTAGACCTAAATTTGGCGCCAACTAAGAAAACAAAACTGCACTTCCTCTTATTTTTTGTCAATTAGGAATGTAACATCTACGCAACCAGTCCAACGTTAACGTCAAGTCTTGTTTCCACTTTCCTCGTAAGTTCTCAATGCCGATTGGTCTCCTCTTAGTATTGTGCCTCCATTTTAAGAAGGGGAGAGAGGGAGTGTGAGGGAGTGTGTACGCACGGGAGCGAGCACGCAGGCGCATAGCGTGCTGGCGCCTAACGGGCTAGCGCCAAACGCGCTGGCGCCTAGCGCGCTGGCGCCTAACACGCTGGCGCCTAGCACGCTGGCGCCTAACGCGCAGGCGCCTAGAGCGCGCCTAGCGCGCTGCCGCCTAGCGCGTTGGCACATAGCGCACTGGTTCCTAGCGCGCTGGCGCCTAATGCGCAAGCGCCTAGAGCGCTGGGGCCTAGCGCGCTGGCGCTTGCTGCGCTGGCGCCTAACGCGCTGGCGCCTAATGCGCAGGCGCCTAGAGCGCTGGCGCCTAACGCGCTAGCGCCTAGCGCGCTGGCGCTTGCTGCGCTGGCGCCAAACGCGCTGGCGCCTAACGCGCTGGCGCCTTACGTTTGGCGCCTTGCATGGTGCCCTCGCAGCGCGCTGGCACCTTGTAGCAAGCTGGCGGCTTGTGCGCTGCTGCCTTGTTTGCGGCGCTGGCAAATTCCTGCGGCAGCCTTGTAGCGGCAGCGCGCTGGTAAATTTGTGCATGCGCTCACGCGTTGGTGTAGTGAGCTCACGCGTTGCTGCAGTGAGCTCACGCGTTGCTGCAGTGAGCTCACGCCTTGATGCAGTGAGCTCACGCCTTGCTGCAGTGAGCTCACGCGTTGCTGCAGTGAGCTCACGCCTTGCTGCATTGAGCTCACTCCTTGCTGCAGTGATCTCATGCCTTGCTGCAGTGAGCTCACGCCTTGCTGCAGTGAGCTCACGCCTTGCTGCAGTGAGCTCACGCTTTGCTGCAGTGAGCTCACGCCTTGCTGCAGTGAGCTCACGCCTTGCTGCAGTGAGCTCACGCCTTGCTGGAGTGAGCTCACGCCTTGCTGCAGTGAGCTCACGCCTTGCTGCAGTGAGCCCACGCCTTGCTGCAGTGAGCTCACGCCTTGCTGTAGTGAGCTCACGCCTTGCTGCAGTGAGCTCACGCCTTGCTGCAGTGAGCTCACGCGTTGCTGCAGTGAGCTCGCGCATTCCTGCAGTGAGCTCACGCCTTGCTGCAGTGAGCTCACGCCTTGCTGCAGTGAGCTCACGCCTTGCTGAAGTGAGCTCACGCCTTGCTGCAGTGAGCTCACGCCTTGCTGCAGTGAGCTCACGCCTTGCTGCAATGAGCTCACTGTGAAGAAACAAAGACAACAAAAAAAGGTAGGTGGTAGCAGGGGCGGCAGCTGGAGGTGCCACGGCAGCAGCTGGCGTCAGCAGCAGATGACCGGCTGACTTCCGTCGCCCCCTCACTCCCCCCCCCACAGCGGCACGTGCGGCAGTGAGAGAGAGAGGAGGGGCGGCAGCTTCTTGCTCACACCCGCCTCCCCAAAGCCTCCCCCCCACACTGTTGCACGTGCAGTAGCGAACAGAGGGGCGTCAACCACCCTCGCGCCTCCCCCTCCCCCCCCTCCACACCGTCGTCCACAGTGGAAGAAAACGGCAGCGGGCTCGGGTGGGGTTGGTGAGCTGTCGGGTAGGAAGGGGGAGTAACGGGTGGGTGCAACAGGTGCCGCGACGAGCGCCTGCGCACAGCTCGTCGTCGCTTGCGAGGCAGCTGCAGCGGTAGCAGCCGCATTGTCGACGGGAGGGCGGGGCAGGGGGTGCGATCGGCGGCTGAAGTAACTCGGCCGCCACACCCGCCGTCTCCCCCCAAAGCGACCGTCGATGCAGACGTTCGGGGCTGCGACCGGGCGCGACGAGGTTGCAGGAGGGCGCGATGGGCAGACGACGGGGCCGCCGACTGGGGCCGCGACGAACAGACCTAGACCCGCCACGCGCGACGTCACGACTAGCGGCTGAACGGGTGCTTGGGAGGCCGCGACGAGCGCCATGGCAGGAACGAGAAGTGGTGGGCCCATGGGAAAAAAAAATCAGGTCCTAGGATAGGAACCTCACTCTGATACCATGTGAAGAAACGTTCTTAGTAGGAAGGCATAGAAGCCATAGTGAGTTCAGTAGTAGAGATCGAGCTCGAGTGAGTAGGGTTAGGAGAGTCGAGAAAGTTTCAACAAAGAGGGGTTTCACTATAGAGCGAGCAGTACAAATAGGCAAGATGAAAGGTGTACCACCACAACAGAACATTATATAACTACAGTAGTCTACACTACAGGCAGTTACAAAACAATATATAGGTTTATATATTATTCTGACACTCACGCCTTGCTGCAGTGAGCTCACGCCTTGTTACGGCAGCCCGCTTGCTCCTCTGCCAGTGCCTTGCTGCAACTCTCTGGCACCTTGTAGCATGGCGATGCCCAGCTCGTTGCACCAAGGCACCTTGCTCGCTAGAGCCTTGCTGCATATCAGCGTGGTGTGCGTGACCCCAGGGGATCTATGTTTCAAACCACGCTTGTGAGTCGTCGAATTCGGTTTTCTTTTGTACTTATCATATTTCTTTCAAGTTCCTTTTCACAATCAAGTGCGTGTTCGTCATTGAATAGTTCACTCCGTTTTCCGACTACAATTCTTTTTCTTCTTGACCTGTTTGTTTTGCAAGGTGTGGAGCAGGGAGGGATCGAGAGAGAAGACAATGTAGAAAAGGGTGGGAGGAGATTTCGATGGTTGAGGGAGATGAAGGAAGGCAGGAAGGGGGAGTAAGGGGGGGACAAGGTAGCGGTGATTGATACATAATTAACTTTTTGCAACTCTTTGTTATGCTTGTCTGCTATCAATCCTATTTGTGTATGTATGTGTGCACGTTGCGGGTGTGTTTGTGTGGGTGCGTGTTCATGTCTTGTCATTGTGTTTGTTTCACTGTGGAGTTTTACGTGCGTTTGCATTCGTGTTTGTGGGATGTGTGTTTCAAAGTGTGGTGTTAGTATGTGTTATGCATGCAATCAGAGGTTGTTAATCGTCTTTGGGGCAGCGTGTTTTCGCTGTTTCAACGACCCCATCAACCTTTGTTGTTGCATGATGCATTTTAACATTCATTTTGAAGCATCCACTCCACCTCATACCTTGTTGTTCATTTGTATAGTTGCATTCGTTCATGTTGATGCCAGAATATTATGCTCGGCCATACGATCCGCCGTATTTATCGACGAGGTTGTGACGGTCGAGCAAGTTCATGGTTTCAACATGATACGTACGTGTTTACGTGTTTTGGGGATCTCATTCATAAGTGTTTTTATCCACTGTTTGAAGCATCCGTTTGAACACAGTTTCTAAACATTCAAACGAGTGCTCCAAAAAGTGCGTAAATAACAATCTTTGAATGATATCCCCAAAACGTGAAACTGTTACGAGTGCAATTGAGTGAACGAACGAAGATTGCACTATCGAAGAAACAAGTACAATGAGCGAAGGAATGGGCAAAGAATATATAGCGAAGCTACAGTGGTAACGGTTAATGGCTGTGGGTATCGCGCGACGGGCCTGGCACTGAGGTTGGGAAAGTGTGTCGAAGCGGAGGCCCGGAGCGCGGGTTACCCGCCGAGCCGTGAGGTCGGGATGCGACGTGCGAAAGTGGCGGGCGGATTGTTGATGCGAGAATCGCGAGTGGTAACGGTTGTTGACTGTGATATACGCGTTGAGCAGAGATGCGAAGTAAGGAAAAAGAGGTTTTCCTTACACTACCCCCCCCCCCCTAAGGAGGTCTTCCTTACGAACGTGCGTGTACATCCCGAAAATTTCGGCTACGCAGGTACTCGGTGAGGACGGGGTGGTTTTCGATTTTGTCCAGGGGGACCCAATTGTCTTCGGTGGGTGTACGGTCCTTCCAGCGGAGTAAGAATTCGATTCGTCGGGCTCCTCGAGGGTTGCGAACTCGATGGCTTAGGATTTTTTCGGGGGTGATTATCGGTTCAGTTGGTGGTCGCGTCATGCTGGCTGGGCAATTTCGTGGCAGTTGGCTCGTGGACGGGACGTAAGGGCGAAGCAGACTGACGTGGAAAGAGGGGCTGACGTACCAGTCAGCAGGGAGGAGGAGGTGGGCGGTGACGGGTGTGATCATGTGGCTTATGCGGAATGGCCCACAATATCAGGGGCGGAGTTTTAGGGGTGACGGGGAGTCGGAGATTCTGGGTGTCGAGCAAAACTAAGTCGTCGGGCTGGTAAGTGATAGGTCTGCGGTGGCGGTCGGCGTTACGTTTAGCGATCATATTAGCTTTTTTAATTGCGTCTCCTGCCCTGGTCCGTGCTGCTTGCAAGATTTCGGCGAATTGTTGTGCGCGTGGAACCGGGTTTTCGGGATTCGGGGTCATGGGTACTGTTGGGTCTTGTCCGTAGTTCATGTAAAATGGTGACTGTTGGGTCGTAGCTGATGGGGCGTTGTTGTACGCGAATTCGATGAGTGGCAGTTGCTGTTCCCACGTGTTTGGGTCGTCGCACGTGGCCCGGATGAGCTGTTCCATGGTCTGGTTTGTCCGTTCCGTCTGTCCGTCTGTTTCGGGGTGGTACGATGAACTAAACTGTAGTCGTGTGCCGAATTGCTGCCACAGGTTCCGCCAGAAGTTGCTGGTGAATTTCGTATCTCTGTTGCTGATGATCGATGCTGGTATCCCGTGTAGTCGAAAGACGGTCGAGATGAAGAGGCGGGCTGTTTCTTCGGCTGTGATTGATTTTTTGCAGGCTGCGAAGTGTGCCATTTTCGTCAGTCGATCGACGACGACCAGGATCGCGTCATTTCCACTCGCCTTGGCCGATAACCCCGT